GCTCTAGCTAAAATACTCCTATAGTATTTTAAGTTGCATGCTCTGTTCTATCGGTATCTTGATGTATATGGCTTGGTAAGTTTTAGGCCTCCTGCAACACCACAGTCACTCCCAGACACATGTTGGTCATGTATCAAATGAATATAGTTGATCAGGTTATATTGATCCCAAACATGATTACATAACTATACAGGTTTAACCGCAACATCCAACATCCAAATACTTTTGTTTTGTTCTACTTATGACACTGTTTCTGGTACTCAGGTACACTTGTATACTTTTTATAAAAATACTTATATATTTTAAAAGTATACTTTTAGTTCAGAGCACTTCGACCCCTTAGTGTTTATAGTTGTATACCATGTAAGGTTCGGTATATACTCAGTTCACTATAAACAAGGGCTCAGATACCAATCTGTCACACCCTCAAACCGGAACGACGGAAACGTTCGGGGGTGGATGACGTCATGTATAGGATCACAACCATTGCACTACAGTAATCAAAGTAAACATAACCATTACATTGAATATATATGAAAAAGGTAATTACATCTGTTTAGTTCTTGACTTTATACAATCAAAGTATAATCAAAAGAAAAAGACATGACTCTATACGCCCCCGTCTTCTCAAAAACTCCAGAAGGTACCTATCTACTGTTTTCCTGAGAATACAGGCAGTTTTGAAAGAGTATCAGCATAAAGCTAGTGAGTTCATAAGCATGTTTTTGTACTGAAAATCTGTTCATGAATCCGTAAAATGTTCGTATGTTTCCAAGAAAATCCATTATTTTCTAACATATGTATTTTATTACTGAAACTCATTGAATGTGTTGTGCATTGTTTGATTGAATAAGAAATCTCTCTTTGCATGAAAAACCCTGATCATCACTAGTATGTATAGTACGTTTGGAAAGTTCTGAAAACTGTAATATGTATAGTAGTTCTATTACTTTATAATAAAACTAATTGAAGTTGTTACCATTCATAAATTAATCGTATATTCTTAGTACCAAATTTATGAGTTGTTATAACCATACTTGACCATTGAATTGCCTGAACGACGTTCTTCAGGCGTCGGATTCGAAATGACTTTGTCACCCAGGCCTGCCGGCCTAACTGTAGCTAGCAGTTATGGTGCGGGATTGTCAATCCCGTATAGATCTATACACAAACTCACGTTCTCCTTCCAGGAGACTCTGGTTATAATCTCAAGGATTTTGTTAGTACTTAGTTAAGTACGCGAAGAATGATCACTCATAAAATGCTATACTAACGATTACATGTAGAATAAAATGAATCCATTGAATTTAGTTCGTTGTCTACGTAGTTAATAAACTACACTTTACATAGTTTATATGTCTGGTTGCATTGAATCTTTGTCTTGTACATTGATATGTTAATTGTTCCATAAACTATACATATTATAGTTTATATGTTCATTTGTGCGTTCACTTCATGTTTTACATTGAAAGTTCTGTGATTATGATGAAAAACTCCCCTTGTGCTCAGCATAGTACAAAAAGGGATGAAATATCTGTATGTTTTATGAAAGTATAGAAAACTGTATGGTTGTATCAATTGCATCCGTGTTAAGTTTATTGAAATCCTTTTGTATAAGTTTCACAAATCATTTATGTTTGGATTGTATTCCCCCCCTCTGAAAACGTTAAAAACAGTAAAGACATAGGGATATGAACTCACCTGATGTGAGTGGTTTGAATGAAAGATTGATATGGGATGCTGAGTGTCAAGTGAAGTCTCGAACACAGACAGATCCTATTTAGCATGTAATAACACATATATGCATCAAATTAGGGTATATCACAACTAGTTATGATAGGAAACCACCCTAGGAACTTGGGGACACTTGAAACTAAGTGTGAAAATTATATGTGATTGAATGAGGGAGGTTTACGGCCACACAAAGGTGTGTACGACCATGGGTGTACGGCCCATGAGTGTACGGCCGTATGCTCATGAAGAAGTGTGCATTTGAGGTGTTTTTAAGGTCCTAACTAGTATCAAGGAAGTGTTCTAGGTCCCATGCTTAGTTTTAATGCAAGTTTAAGGCCAATAATGAGCATCAAAGAGGGTTTACGTCCCTATGAGGTGTGTACAACCGTACACCTGGGTTTACGGCCGTACACCCTTCATGTTCATGCTAAGTTGGTCGATTTCATGGTATATATATATACCAAATACGAAACAAGGTTTTAGATCAAATACCCTAAATACATTTTGTAGTACGTGGGCCGAACCACAACTAAAAATAGACTGATCAGCTATGTTTTATTATGGTCAGACCAAATGCATTACTAAACTTGAATATGGTAGTTGATAGACTAAAAACTTGTAGGTCCTAAAAGACTTAACAATATCACACGATTCAGGGAAACAAGGAAAAACATGTAAATATATTAGTAACACCATACAAAATACATCGTACGAACCAAGCAATCTAGAAACCTACCAAACACAACAAAATACAAAATACAAACATATCACCTATAATCACCTTCATCATCCTCATTGTAAAGTTCCAAAAGTAACAATAAAATTTTCATTTTTAAACCATCAAATCCATACAAACATGGGTTCCAAAACCAATCAGAGTAGAATGTATCTTTGAAACATCATAGTAAAACAATAATAATCAGTGCGGAAAAAGCCATCAGGGGATGTTGTGCAGTTAAGTCGGGACCTTCCCTTTGGAATTGAAAGCACCTCAAAAATATTTAAACCACAAAACCATAAACACAAAGCTTAGCGAGTTTCCTAAAATACCACATGTCATACATAGGATAAGGAATGCTATAGGCCGAACCATAGTGTTACTGTCACTATCATCCATGAGCCAAAATCATGGTCTTTCCTTGCTAGGAGCAAAACATGGTCTTACGTACAAGTGCCAAGAGCCACATACTGATCTTCTATGCAAGTATCACAAAGACAATTAACATCCAACATATAACTGTTAGGGGCCAAACCTTGGTCTTTCATACAATTGCGAGGAGCCACATCCTGGTCTTTCATACAATTGCGAAGGGCCAAAGCCTGGTCTTTCATACATATGCCAAGGGGCCACACCTGGTCTTCCATGCAAGTATCACCAAGAAAACTAGCATTCTACATTGTATAGTGAGAAGACTCACCATGCCAATGTAGTCAACAACTAACAGCTATCACAACCAATGAATGGGTGCTATACACCTCCTAATAAACAAAACTGGGTAAACCCTTAGTCTACTTTCTAAAACTAGAAATTTGCCCAAAATTCAACCCATGCCAAAAGTGAACGGTAAAGGTCAAGGTCAACAGTCAACATCACCATCAACGGATACTCACGTCGTGACCAGCCCATAGTCACCTCGTGCCTAACAAACATAGGCTCGATCCAAAACTCCAGATACAAACAACTCGGCCGCGATAAAAACCACTGTCATGTCGTGATGGTCATGCTACCACGTCATTGAATACTCTGTCCAAAAGAGTTAGTGAGTCTCATTGTCACGTCGTGACCTCCATATGTTCATTTCATGACTACTGTATTTGGGACAACTTAATGCATTCATCCCTTAATCCTTTAAGCCATCCATTCCAACTTTCTAGAGGGCCATCTTACTCCAAAAACATTCTAAAAATCGATGCTTTATAGACATGCATGTCCAATGCATGCCTTGAACTCATGTTAGGTCAGAATGATGAAAAATGGAACCACAATCATATTTATGACTTCAAAACTTAGCCAAATTTCAGATCCAACATATATAACCTCAAGGGACCTCATGGACCCATAAAGTTTCCAACTTTATGGAAACGTTCCATCCAAACTTCCACAACATAATGAAAAAGGGACAAGGAGCCTAGATCTAGAAGCATGTAACATAAATGTTATAGCCTAAAACCCAGATGGCCCGGTTGTGCTTAGTTGAGTCCAGTCCAGCCCACTAGCTGGTTAGCTGGCTTATAGAATGTGTCCATTTATTTCCTGTCTTTTAGTTTACTTGTCCTTTTGTTTTCATGATTGTTTTTATTCCAAGGAAGCCTATAAAAGGGATCTCCCCCTCTTATTTGTGCACACGAATTTTATAGTGAAATCAATACAAGTTTCCATAATTTCTTTGATTTGGAAATGTTGCTAGTTAACCTTTCGCAATATTTCTGACTTACTTGGCGTCTTTGACAACAAGACCGCCAAGGTCGCATGGGTATAAGGTGGTATTAGAGCAAAGGATTTATCCTAGGTACTCCTTTGAAGGTTTACAACACAATGGCAGACGAAGATACCGTTATTACCCCCGAGAACCTCGATGATCGTGGTAGGGAAGCTAAAAAGACGAAGACCAAAAGGTCCAAGTCTCGAACCAAATCTAGGCCTCCTCCCATTCCGCCCAACAACTCTGGTGAAACTGTCGAGACCCGCATTGTTAACCTTGAGTCTCTTATGGAAGGAAGGCAGGCTCAGATTGGTGATATGTATGAGAAGATTGAGGAGTTGAATGTAGAGAATGCTGAGATGACACATGCTGCCAAGATTTTGATCGATGATGTGACTATCAAGTTTAAACAGGAGCTTGGTTCCATTTCCAAAGAGCTATTGGCCCACAAGAAGTCTTTGGGAGAAGAAATATGTGATATCTGAGAAGAAACGAAGGTGTTGAAGCGAGAAGCCAAGAGACAACCGTTGATGTTGGGGAAACTTGGAAGCCATGGTGCTAGCCCTAACATCAAAATCCACAAACCTGATGTGTATAATGGAACTCGAAATACTGGAATGGTCAAACCTATTTGGATTGGAGCAGTACTTTGATGCAAGTGGCGTAGTCGATGATGCCTCGAATATCGGAAACTCTGCGATATTTCTACGTGAATCTGCCCAACTTTGGTGGAGGAGGAAGTATACTGAACGAGAGAAGGGGACCTGCACCATCGACACTTGGGATTAGTTCAAAGTTGAGCTGAGGAAGCATTTTGTCCCACACAATGTCACTGAAGAAGCCATGGAGAAATTGAGATGGTTTCATCAAGGAGGCACTATTTTCGACTACATAAAAGAATTCACCACTATCATGCTGGAAATCGAAGATCTGTCGGATAGAGACGCCTTGTTCTACTTTAAAGATGGGTTATGTGATTGGGATAAGGTTGAGCAAAATCGGAGGAATGTCTAGACCTTAGACAAGGCGATATCGATGATAGAATCATTGCAAGAATACAAGCCCACACAAAGAACATCCCCTAATGCAAAGACAGGAGGAAATAAGAATGCCCCAAGGAAGTTTGAAGATCGACGGACGGATAGGCCTAAGTTCGACAATAAATTTAAACGTGACCCCCGGAAAGCACCCAACAAGCCTTGTTTCATTTGTGATGGACCCCATTGGACACAGGAATGCCCCAACCGTAAAGCTATGAATGCATTAGTGACGGATATGGTGAACGAAGACCAGGCGAGACGGAGACACAAGAAGGGTTAGGCACAATAAGGCATCTTGCAGCTTTGACAAAACTTCTGTCAAAAAGGCAGACAAAGAAAAAGGTATTCGATTTGTGGATGTATCGATGAATGGGAAGGAATCGGTAGCTCTTGTAGACACCGGAGCATCCCAAAAGTTTCTAGATACTAAAGAGGCAGAAATATTTGGCGTTCGTTGTCTCTCAGGAAGTGGCACAGTCAAAGTGGTCAACTCGGGAGCTAAGAAGATTTTGGGGACAACTATTATTAAGGTGCGTATTGATAATTAGATAGCTGATCTAATTTTTACCATTACCCTAATGGATGATTTAAGGGTTGTTTTGGGCTTGTCCTTCTTTCGGAAAGCTCATATATTCCCAATTCCTTCTGTGAGCTCGCTTATTTTTCTTGGCGAGGGCCTCACAAGTAACATGGTTGAAAGGAGCCAAAGAAATCACCCCGTTGCCATCGGCCTTAAAATTTTAAAAAAAGGAGCAAAATAAGGCGTGTGTTATGTTGCAGAGATTTGGGAAACACTAGAAGAATGTGAGGGCCGCCCACCAAGGGACTTGCCAATGTTGATCCAAGATGTATTTAAGGAATACGAAGATGTGATGTCTGTATAATTTCTAAAACACTTGCATACACGAAGATAAAATAGACCACCAGATTGAGCTAGAACCTGGAGCGAAACCCCTTGCAATGAGCCCCTACCAGATGGACACTCCGGAATTAGCAGAACTTCGGAGACAGCTCAAAGAGCTCTTGGATTCGGGTTACATCCAACCCTCAAAAGCTCCTTTCGGGGTGCCAATCCTATTTCAGAAAAAGAAAGATGGTGCCCGTTGAATGTGTATAGATTATCGCACCCTCAATAAAGTCACAGTGAAAAATCGCTACCCCATTCCTTAATAGCCGGCCTTTTCGACCAAATGAGCTGTTTAAGATTGTTTTAAAACTAGATCTTTGGTCGTGAGATTACCAGGTTTGAATAGCCGAAGGGGACGAACCAAAGACTACTTGCATTATGAGATACGAATCATTGAATTCCTTGTCATGCCCTTTGGTTTAACTAATTCTCCAACAACCTTTTGTATTATGATGAACAAGCTTTTCCAACCCTTCTTGGAGCGATTCATGGTTGTTTATCTTGATAACATAGTAGTATATAGCAAGACCCTTGAGGAACATCAGCAGCACCTAAAACAGGTTCTAGAAGTTCTACGGGAGAATAAATTGTATGTCAACCTGGAGAAGTGTTCCTTTGCACAACAAGAAGTAGAATTCCTCAGACATTGCATCCGGGAAGGGAAACTGATGATGGGCCCTAAAAAGATAAAGACCATACAAGAGTGAAAGGCCCAAACAAAAGTACTCGAACTACGTTCCTTTCTTGGTTTGGTAAAATACTATCAGAAATTCATCCAAGGGTACTCCATTATAGCAAACCCTTTAACAAATTTTTAAAGAAGAATAAGACGTGGAACTGGACCAAGGAGTGTGAAGGCGCCTTTAAGAAGCTGAAGGTGGTTATAATGCAGGAAGTCGTCATGAGATTACCCGATTGCACCGTCCCTTATGAAGTTCATACTAACATTTCTGATTTTGCTATAGGTGGTATGCTGATGCAGGGAGGGCATTCAATCACGTATGAAAGTCACAAACTAAACAAAACAGAAAGACGCCACACAATGCAAGATAAAGAGATGACTGATGTCATACATTTCTTACGAACTTGGAGACACTACCTGTTGGGGAGTCGATTTGTGATCATGACCATTTCTTACGCACTTGGAGAAACTACCTGTTGGGAGTTGATTTGCTATCATGACTGACAACATCGCTACGAGCTATTTCTAAACACAGAAACGCCTAAGCCCGAAACAGTCCCGATGGCAGGATTTCCTAGTAGAAATTGACTATGATCTAATGTACAAGCCTGAAATAACGAATGTTATTGCTGATGCCCTTAGTAGGAAGGCAGAATTAGCAGGGATCTCATCTACTCAACCCCCATTAGGCCTAATCGAATGGTTTAAAGAAGGAACGAATCACTACCCGGTCACAAGCAATTTGGTGAAGCTAGCGAAAGAAGGAAAGACTCGAAGGTTTTGGCTAGAAGATTAACTACTATACACTATGGGGAACCAAATATATGTTCCCGTGTGGAAGAATTTACACCGTGCAATAATCAAAGAATTTCATGATTCGTTGTGGGTTGGTCACCCCAGAATGCACCTGACTCTTTCTATTGTCCAACAATGCCACTATTGGCCACACATGCAGGACGACATTGAAGCATATGTCAAGATGTAGAGGTCAAATTTATTTGTGATGTGTCGAATCTTTTTGATAGTTTTTTTTATGTTGGGTCTAAAATTGGTTTATACTTTGCTTTTCTAAGCATTTATTGTTTTATCATTTGGGCCGAAAACTAATATTGGGATTAATTGTAGCTTGGACTGAAAACCCATGAGTTTTTGGTCTAGCATTGGGTTTTCGGTCCATTGGGTTTTCGGTCCGGCCTTGAGTTTGTGGCCCATGTATATATAGGTGTTAGGTGGGTGAGGTGATAAGGAGTCTCAAGGTGCTTAAGTGTGTGTTCGTAAGGTGTGAGAGAAAGTTAGAGAGAAGAGTGTGTGTGCATGAATCTATGTGTAAGGAGCTTCATTCCAACATTGAATACATCATAGATTCAAGTTATTCTTCTTCTCCTTCTATTCTATTTTGATCTGAAATCATCCAATTGATTGGGATTCCGCACCATCAATTGGATCTGATTGATACACAAGCAAATTTGGGGACTTACAATTGGTATCAGAGCGAGTCTAGTGTCAATCAATTGTGTTTTCTGTTTTCGTTTCATCAACATTCTCGTGATCTTCATTTTCGGTTCATTGGCAAGTTCGAATCTGTTCTAGTTGACTGAATTGTTGTTTGCTTTAATTAAAATCAAGATCTGCATCAGATTCAAGTTTCTGACTGAATTCTTATAGTTTTCGGTTGAACCTACATACACCGAAAACTCATTGTCATTTGTGTTCTGTTCAGATCTGTGTATTTGGAAGCATTTTTGGAAGTTTTGGCTGTGCGAAAAATAGATATCAGATCAAGAATCAACGTTTTCACTAAAAAATTCTCAGTTTTTGGTTCATCTTCAGACACCGAAAACTATTTTTGCTCAATCTTCAGAAACCGAAAACCCAAGCAATCTTTAGAAACCGAAAACCCAAGCAATCTTCAGAAACCAAAAACCTGAGCATTCTTCAGAAACCGAAAATCCAAACCATCTTCAATAACCGAAAACCTTTCATCAATCTCAGGAAACCGAAAACTCACTTGATTCTAGTTTTCGGCCTAACGTTTTCACCGAAAACCTGTCTTTGATCATTTTTCTTTCAATTTAATTTTCAAAACAAAAAAATCATAAAAAAAAAATTAAAAAAAAAAACAGCAAACAAATGGATTCTCAAAGCATGACAGTACATCAGGAACTTGACACCATCATGGGAACAACTTCTCGAATTCCCCGAATCTTGAATGCTGAAGGCTTTCCGGAATGGAAATACCGGATCGAAAAGTATATTAAAATGAAAGACTTCAAGATTTGGCGCAGTATACTTAGGGGACCAATCTGAATTACTACTATAGTGGAAGACATAATTGTCGACAAACGGATTGAAAATTATACGGATGATGATTTCGAAAAGACCGAAGAGCAGGAGAAAGCCCTTGCTACGCTTACAATGACATTATCTCCAGAAATCGCTCAGGGTTTCCGTGAGTATACATCGGCAAAAGCACTTTGGGAAGCACTAATAGAAGTTTATGAGGGTAATGAGGATATGAAGCAGAGTCGTCAGGACATGCTTCGACAAAAGTTCAACATGTTCAACTATGTCCTGGGCGAAACTCTTGAGAACCAGCTCCAGAGGTTCATTACTCTCACCACAGAAATGAGTTCTGTAGGTGTTTCGGTAACAAGATCAGAAATCAACAAGAAGTTGTTAAACTCCCTTCCAAAATCCTGGGATATGAATGTCTCAGTGATAAAGAAAACAAAAGACTTAAACAGGCTGAGTCTGGCAGAAACTATGGCTATCATCAAGGCTTGTGATCTTGATGACAAGCAGAGGGAGATTAATCATGTTAATTCTTATTCCATTGCAAATCTAGGGATCCAAGCCACAAACAACGATGTCTTTTCAAGCTTCACTGTTGTGCAAGCTCCTCAAGTTACCCCAACTCCACATGTTTCACAAGTTCAACCTTTCATGACTCATCAACCGATTCCACCTACATCCTATGTTATCCCTTCCATGCAACAAGTTCAAGTCTCTCAACCTCAGATCACTTCTCAACAAGTTAATCCCAGTGTTGGCTCATCTAATGTTGTACCTCCTCAGTCTCATGGTTTCAGTTCTCAAATGTCAACCATGAAAGAAAAAGAAGAAAATATGGCTCTTGCCACGGGTTTGGTAAATTGCTACAATGCTTTTGTGGCTGGAGAACTCTCCCCACAACTTTCGTTTGCCGACCTTGATCAGATTCATCCTGAAGATGTAGAAGAGATGGATATAACTTGGCAGATGGCCATGGCTGTGTTCAGGGCAAAGCAGTTTTCTAAGAAAACTGGCAAAAACAACTGGAGTGTGAATTCCGACAAAAAGGTCGGATTCAACAAAGGCAAACTTCGCTGCTACAATTGCCATGAGCCAGGGCACTTTGCTAGGTAATGTCCAAAGCCTGACAGAAGGGAAAATGCTGATCGAACCGTGGTGCCAGTTACCTATGTCCACAGCAACAGCAGAGGATCCTCATCAACCAATCAATATGCAAATCTGGCAATGGTGGCTCAATCTTTTGATTGGGAAGATCAAATTCAGGCTCTGAATATTTCAGGACCTGAAAATGCGCATCTTGCTCAAATCAAGGATTGTGTGGAGGAAGAAGCAAAGAAAGACCCTGAGGAAGAGATGATGAATCTCCAGTTTGCCTTCATGGTGCAAACTACTCCTGAGCCATCTAAGCCCGAGGTAAGTGAATCCGGTTGCTCTCCATCTTGTGCTAAAACTATAAACTTTTTGCGAGAATCAATAGAGTTAATCAAGAGAGAGAACGAAGACTTAAAATATGAGGGACACACACTTAGGAAAAACCAAAAGCCCTTAAAGACTCAACTAGAAAATAAAATAAAGGACTTTAGGAAATTACAAGAGGATTACAGCAACAAATGTGAGAACTATGACCATATCAAACGAAAATTTGAAGCTGTGACTGCTGAACTTGA